GGAAAAAAATAAAAATGAAAAACACCATGCCTCACTGACCCATTGCCCTGGAGCCACAGTGCAGGAATTGTTCCTGATCTGACCCCACCACACAGAAGCAAAACACTAAGGGCATGCAACAGAACAGAAAGGGGAGCAAAGCAAGGAAGTCCTCAGGGAATACCAAAAATGGACTTTGGGGCCAGGGCATGGTACCCCATCATATTCAACTGGAAAACACTGCTAAAGGTCAACAAACAGACCTTGAACTATTTATAGGCTTTTCTCTTTTTTGTCATTGGTTTGTTCTTGCTGTTTTGTTTTCTTTTGTTGCTTTGTTTTACTCTGTCTTGTTTTTTGTGCATATTATTATCTCTGTGGTTCTATCTAGATAAGATAGGCGGGGAAAACAATCTGGAGGAGAAAAAAGGACTGACAGTTCCAGGGGGGAGCTGGTGGAGGGGGAGGGGGATGGAAAGGAAGTGGATGTTAACAAACCCAAGGGAAGGGAAGAAGTGATCCAAAATCAATGGTGAGGAAGGTGTAGGAGGCCTGATAGGGCTTGATAAAGGGCAATGTAACCAAGAGGAATTACTGAAACCCAAATGAAGGCTGAACATGATAGCGGAACAAGAGGAAAGTAAAAGGAAATGGAGGAAAGAATTAGGAGGCAAAGGGCATTTATAGAGGTCTAAATACATGCATGTACATATGTAAATATAGTTATATATTATGATGGGGAAATAGATCTATGTGCATATATTTATAGGTTTTGTATTAAGGTAGAAGATGGACATTGGGCCTCTACTCAATTCTCCCTCAATGCAAGAACACTTTGTTCTATTAAACATGGCATTCCATGATGCTCACCTTCCCAACATGATCACTGAAGACAAAGCGGGTGTATAAGCAAATGTGGTGAAGAGAGCAGATGGTGCTCGACTATCAAAAGATACAGCATCTTGGGTCTTAAAGGCTCGAGGATAAACAAGTGGCCATGTAGCTCAGAAGCAACAAAGCCCACATGGAAGAGACACACCAGCCTGTGCGATCTCAGGGTGTCTATAAGATCAGGTATCAGGCATACCTGATCAAATCATATCACTGTGAATGAGGGGGAGTGTGGAGTGGAGACCCAAAGCCCATCTGTAGGCAACTGGACATCCCCTTACAAAGGGGTCATAGGGAGGAGATGAGCCAGTCAGGGTGCTTTGTAGCAACGATGAAACTTACTGTTTCCCCGAAAGTAAGACATCCCCCCAAAATAAGACCTACTTATAGTTTTGCCTCTCGCTGAAATATAAGGCATTCCCCGGAAAATAAGACCTCCCCCAAAATAAGGCCCCCCAAAGCTACTGTAACTCTGGACTCTGAATCATAGCGGCGGCGGGCGCCACTGCACAGCTTACTGTTGGCCGCAGTGCAGCCAGAGCAGACAGGAAGTGCAAGGTCTCTTTTAATAAAACAAAACAATAAACAATAAGTGTGTACTGTATACTTCATAGAAAAATAAGGTATCCCCTGAAAATAAGACCTAGCGCATCTTTGGGAGCAAAAATTAATATAAGATACTGTCTTATTTTGGGGGAAACGGTACAACTTTTCTCTATTTCTTTACTGCTTCCTCCCCACACTATCATGATCCCAATTCTACCTTACAAATCTGCTAGACCAGAGTGCATACACTGGTACAGATAGGAACCGGAAATAGGGAATCCAGGACAGAGAAACCCCTCAGGATCAATGAGAGTAGCAATACCAGGAGGGTAAGGGGAAAGTTGGGTAGAAAATGGGAACTGATCACAAGGATCTACATATAACCCCCTCCCTGGGGGACAGACAACAGAAAAGTGGGTGAAGGGCGACATCAGACAGTGTAAGACATGACAAAATAATAATAATTCACAAATTATCAAGAGTCCATGAGGGAGGGGGGAGCAGGAAGGGAAGGGGAAAAAAGCTGGTACCAAGGGCTCAACTAGAAAGAAAATGTTTTGAAAATGATGACGACAACAAGTTTACAAATGTGCTTGACACAATGGATGTATGTATATGGATTATGTTAAGAGTTGCATGAGGTCCCAATAAAATGATTAAAAAAAGAAAATAAAAACACTTTCCTTGATAGGAGCTTTACAGCAGCTGCTACTAAGAGGCAACAACAACACCCTTCATGCTATTCAAATTCTAAAATTTAAGTATGTTAAAATCCAAGTGAATTCTAAGGTATTTCTTGAGGAGAAAATCATGATCAAAATGAAATTTTGATAAAGGGGAAAAAAACTATCTTTCCTTAAAAAGAAACGTTTTATTTATGGTAACACAAAACAGTAATAAAATATGTACAAGAGTCTCAGATTTTTCACTAATATAAGACAACATTCTTTGAACTGTTTATAAAAGAAAACACAAGAGTCCTATCAGCAAATTAACTTAATATTTCATTCAACTTTCCCAGAAAAGAAAATCTGTCTGATCAAATCCACTGTTATATTTTGTGGCATACCTTTATCTATCTATATATATATATATATCAGGGAAATTTTAAAGGCCTAGAAAGATAATAGTTGAGACTCTGCAAATGTAGAATTCCAAGAAAATATTTTCCTGAGAAGATGTATTTTTCTTTTCTACCCAACACTGAGTTCTATTTGCCCAGGGAAAGGAACCGGCAACGTAAAACACTGTACATCCAGGTTTTCCATTCAGAAAATATTTCTTAAGAGTCCATGTAGTACGGTACACATTGGGAGGCTAACCCTGAGATCAGAAGTTCAAAACCACCTAGCACATGAGAGAAAGGTGAGGCTTTCTATTCCTATAAACAGTTACAGTCTCTGAAACCCAAAGGAACAGTTCTACCCTGTGTTTCTAGGTCACTGTGAGTCGGTATTAACCAATGGCAGTGGGTTGGGTTTGGTCTGCCTGGCACTGAGCCAGGCCCTGGAGATGGAGCAGGGAACAGAGAAAGCCATGACCCCTGCCCTCAGGAGCTCACAGTCCAGCAGACCAGGCAGACACACACACAGATGTCAAACTCTACCAGGAATCTCAGAAAACAAGCTAGAAAGAACCACTCCAGCTTTCCTACCACCACACAAACCCCAAACCAACTTGACTGTCCTTGAGCTGCCTCTGACTCATACGGCCCTGAAGGCCAAAGGAGAACTGCCACATAGGGTTTCCAGCGTTGTAACAATTTGTGACAGCAGTTTATCACACTTTTTCTCATCATGCAGCTGGTGGGCTCAAACCACCAACGTTTATATGAGCAGCCAAGCCCCTATAACCACTGTGCCACCAGGGATCCTCCACCACAATGCAGGTCCAGGACAGGTGTTAATCTGATACATTACTATACAAAATATAGTCTACAATCATTTATACTGTACATTTAGAAATTCAATTTTACAAAATATAAAGATAGCTACCACATATTGAAGACCCACTAAGAACTAAGTGATTTGGGGGGCTTTTTGTTGCTGTCTTCACTTAATTATTTGTAATCTCCCCAACAACTGGCAAGGCACTACCATCCTATTTTACAGATGAGGAAAATGAGGCGCAAAGAAGTTAAGTTATTTATGCACTTCATAGTTAATTAGTATAAAGACAAGAATAACTGAGCAGCTGCTGGTTTCAAAATGCCGAACTTGCAACCACTTAACCACTGCACTACCAGCACACTGTAACCCAGAAATAGAGCTACCAATTTTCTGACCAGTTAATATATATGCTCAAGAATCCTAAATTGAACAGAAAGCTCTCACCCTGCAGGGCTACATAAATAGAACTACTCATTGTGCAACACCATAATGTGGATAACAGTAATAATGCAGTGTAGGTTTTGCAAAAGTTTCCAAACCTATTTGGCCTACCACCTCCTGTTCAGAAAAAAAAAAATTTACTCAGTGCCCCTGGCAATGGAAAACTGTTGTACTATAGCCCATAAGCCAAGATACAGTGTAGGTATCTACATTTACAGCCCCTCTGGATGTTCTAGCGACCCTCCCACTGGAAGACAGAATGCACCATTTTGGGAAATAGGGCTATAAAGCAACCAGACTCCAATAAAACACCCACGATCTAGTAAAACATCACATCAGCTGGTAAGATGAAATATGAAATGATTCCTTGGGTACATGGATAGTGGAGTCTTCACCAACGGCATCAAACATCAGCATAGGCACTCTATGCTTAGCTGTGTAATTCTTTCACAAAAGAGGACAGGAGGAAAAAGATTAAAAAAGGAGAAATATACTACATTAGGAGATGGAGGGCCTAGAAAAGTAAAAAAAAGCAAAAAACCCCGAACCCTGGAGAACTTCCGGGGACTTTGGGGTTTGGTTTTGTCTTGTGGAGCTCATCCTACAAAGTCCCACCAATCACTGTACTCAGATCGCCTACTCACCGAAGGCTAGTTAGTCTATGTGCTGAGGGAAACCAACACAAGCGTTTAAGCGTACATTTAAGTATTTAAGCACATTCAGATCACAACCAGCCCACTATCATTTTGCAAAAAGTAAACCGGAACTCCCCTGTAAAACGCGAACGACTTTAGGAATGAATGGGAGGCTCAATTTGCCAGATCTCAAGATGAGAAGCATCTGGAGCAAATGATCTGCCCGCTTTCCCAAAAGCGCTGTGCCAGTCTTTCGTCCAAGGGAACCTGCCCGCATTCCCCAAAGCGCTGTGCCAGTCTTTCGTCCAGGAACCGTCCCTGGGAAATTACAGGCTGTAAACGAAGCTAACACCCAACCCGTGGCTAACTTTCCTAGGATGTGCCGTGCATCTGCCATCTCCCCTCTTGGACAGTGTCCCCACTTCACCCGAAATCGGCCACAGCTGTTCGTAGAGGACTTTAAGTGATGGAATCGCTTGAAAAGAGCTCGTTCACTTCGGTTGAGAGCATGCCCGCCATCCCCGGCCGCCGGTGTCTTTCTTAACCCGAGAGTGACTAACAGTAGGACTCGGTAAAGAGAACTTCTGCTGACCTTGAGTGTGCGCGCTAAATAAATTACCTCAGAACGAAAGTGGTGAGATCTCAAAACGGCATCTGGGGAGAAAAAGAGAAAAACGGGACTTCATGTAACTCCTGGTCCTCCACCTGCCGAGCCAGTGACTTGGACCCGGGGCGGGGGCGGGGTTCGGACACCTTCTAGACGCTGTGGAGGACATCCTAAGGGGGGGTGGGCACTTGGTCCAAAGTCTCTAGATCATTTCTTCTAGAGAAGTTTGCGAGAAAGTTCTGGGGGAGTCGGAGAGCCCCGAACTCTAGGTTACTTCCTAAGCCCGCCGTTCCGGTGATGAAGTCCTAAGGCAGGGACAGAGAGCGGTCCAGCGTTCCCCTAAATCGGCCTTGGGGCGTCAGTGAATCTGACACGAAGGACTGCATCCCCTTCCGAGCCCTTCCAGCTAGCTCTCTGCGGCAATTATCCAACCACCACCACCACCACCCCGAGAGACTGGAGAAGGGGGTGGGGGGTGCCACCCGGGTGAGGGGGTGAGTGAAACTGACCAACGTCCCCAGCTGGGGTGGGGGCAATAATGGGTCTCCCGGCGCCAGGCGGCCGGTCGCGGCGTGTCTCACCTCGGCTCCGGGAGCGACCCGAAAAGACGGATTTCATCGGATGCCTCCCTTTCTGGAGCTTGCGGTGCCAGCAGCAGAAAAAGACGATGGTGGCGATGGTGCCCAGCAGGAGCAGCAGGAGGAAGAGGGCGCACTGGATGCTGTAGGGTCTCAGCAGCACGAGGAACGCGGCGGCGATC